TCTCGCCGCAAGCAAGGCAAACCCCAGCACTTAAGCAAACGGGAATTCTCGCGTAAGTAACCCAATAATAGTAATAATTATTATTAATAATCACGAGAGCGCGCAGGACGAGAAACAAGAGCGAGGGAGAGAGAGAGGTGTGTGCATGCATTTTTAAAATTTTCACGTGAAAAACCTCAGAGTCGAAGTAAAAGAGATTAAAGGGGAAAAAAATCCTCATCACCTCTTGAATCATAGCCGTGTGTGCACTTTTGAGATAGCACGCACCTTTCAATTTTATTTAATTTTACAAAAATTTGACTCCTCCTCTTTTCTCCTTTCCGCCGCTTTATTTCTCTTTTCAAAAAGGAATGCAATGATCCCCCACCCCCCGATTTTGCAAAATAATGAACAATGCTAAGGATGAGAGCAACTCACAGGCAAACCTGGGGGTGGGAGCTGGAGGGAAAGGAGGTTGCTTCCACTCACCGTAGGAAAACTGAGTGGGGGGGGGGAGGCATATCTAAGTCTAAAAAACAATTCCTGGGGAGAAAAGAGGTAAGATCGGCCCTTGGACACCAAAGCGCTCACGGTCAAGTGTGCAGCGGGAGGAAAGTAGTCATCCTCACAATAGTGAGAAAGTGGGACTGTGGAAAGGGGCCCCCGGCGCTCCTGAGTCTGCCGAGTCAGGAGAGGGGCTGCGGTGGCGGGGAAAGCCTGGTGACCGAGAAGGACGGGAGAAGCGGCCGGCGCTGCCGCCTTTTGTTCGGGCCGGAGGTGGGTGTTTGTCCCGCTGCCTTTTGTGCCGGCTCCTAGAGCTTGCCCTCCTGCGCCGCCGCCGCCGCCGAAGGCAGGAGCTAGGGCCGGGGGAGGAGGCAGCCAGGGGCACGCGGGAGAGGGAGGGAGGGAGCCTGGGCCGCGGCCGCCGGGTTGCGGCTGCCCGCCCCTCCCGGCCGAACCTTAGAGGCGGCGAGGAGAAGACGTGCAAAATAAATAAATAAAATTTGAATTAAATTAAACAAGGCAAGAGAATGTAAGATTTCTTGCCCTCAAACAGAAGTCAAACGCTCTGCCAGCCCTTTTCTTCACCATTTTCCTCTTTGACTCCCCCACCCCCCCCTTAAAAATCTCACAATCTCTAATGAGGGGGGGCATTGACAATCACCCCCTTCCCCCAAACCCCTTCAGTTGCAAACTTAAAAGCGCCGGCGGCACAGAGAGGGAGCGAGGAACTCCCTCCTCTTACTATTTTTTGGAAGATTTTCAAAAAAAGTGGAAGTGGATTTTGATTGGGAAAAATCTCGTGTCTGAATGTTTACAAGCACCGCGTGTGCGGGAGCCTCCTGCCAACAAACAGACAGAGGACCGTGCGCGGCGCGGCAGCCCGGGAGCAGGCGGCGGCCTCGACCGGGCCTCGGCGACCTCGCCGCGCCCCAGTCTAACCCCGGATCGCCCACCCCGCGCCCGCCGCCCACCCGCCAGGCACCGCTGCTGGCCAAACCGCGACTGGGAGCCAGTCCGGCCCGCGGTCCCCGTCCATCCCCAGCACAATGCCCTGATCTTTGGTCCCGACCTCCCAGACTGTGAAATCGGCTGGTTGAAATTCGGTTTTGTAAAGCATTTTTATTTTGCAAAGCAACTGTAAAAGCGCGTTCTGCGCGCCCGCTCCACTTAGCCCCGGGTACTCTCTCGGACTTCTCTTGCTCTGGACCCCGGGGAGGTCACCACGTGCTTTCCCTGCCCCTCTCCCACTCTGTCCGGCCATCAGCCTCCAGCACCCTACCGTGGCCAGACCAGGTTAACGGTGGGGGTGGGATAAGGGAGAAGTGTGTTCGAATATGCATTTTGGGGGTACTGGATCCCAGGACCCTGCACGCTCCACCTTTAGGTTCTTGTCCTTTACCTTGGGCCTGGCTTGGTCGGGGGTCCTCGTGAGCCTGTGTGAGGGGTAGTGGTGGCTAACTCCAGCTGAGCGGCGCCTGGAAAGGCGGGCGTAGGCACTTAGGAAAGTTTGAGAGTAATAGAGAGAAAGGCGTGAGAGGGCCCTCATCAAACCCTGCTCCCGCATTCATAACTCCTCTTTTAATTTTTGATGCAAGTTTAAAGGACCACCTATACTCGCTTCTGTATTTTTTTTTTTAAAGGGGGGGGGGAAGAGCACTGGGAATTGAATTTTTCACTGGGCCCTGGAACTTGTCACACACTTCGGAAGCTCCCCCGCCCGGGCACGTTGCGGGGCCCTCCCTCTCCCCACCCCCGCGCATCCCTCCCTCGCGCTCTCCCCCGCCCCCACTCCCCCGGCCGCGCCGGATGCGGAGCAGACGCGGCGCGCGGCGGTGTGAAGTTACTACCCGGCCAGGTACCGGCGGGAAGGAAGGGCAGTGTTCGCAGGACTCGGGAAAGCCCGGCCATTCGGAAGGATGCAGTGGGGGCTCAAAGGATCGACTGGGGCGCGCAGTCCGAACTGCTCCCTGGTACCTCCTCCCTCTTGGGTCCATTTCGGGACACTCCAGAATGGGAGGGTTAGTCTCCCTGCCAGTCCCAGTGCGGGCACTGGGTTAGGGGGCCAGATTTTGTGGGGGTACGGAGATCGTTCCTTTCTCTAATTTTCTGGGTGCGCAGAGGGGGCGGGAGCCATTCCCGGTCCTCAGGACCCCCCCCCCCGCCTTTGCTACGTGGGCTGAATGAGCCATTCGGTCGCTAGGAGGCAGAACAAGATCAAGAAAGCTCAGCGAACTTGAACCTGTACCAGAGCCTCCCCCACCCCCTGCCCGGCGTTCCTTGGCCGGGGAGGGACGAGCTTTGCGAGGGTGGGGGTGGGGGTAACGAACGGTTGGGCAGAATTCCCTTTCTTCCCCCCACCCCCCATCACCCCTTGTGTCTTTGTTCTTCATTTTGACTTTAAAAATGCTTCTGGCCAGGGCCGGGAAGAGGCGACCGGGCGCGCGGCCGCCACCCCTGTGCGCGAGCAGAGGAGACCAGTGTATCGGGGGCGGAGCGGGGTGCAGTTTTCGCTTTCTTTCGGGTCAGGCATTTTTGGTACCAAGAAAAGGGTAGTGCGCGCTCTCAGGCTTCAGGGCACCGCCGAAGGGAGGAATATATAGCAAGTTTGCATTTGGTCTCCAGGTTCACTTCTCCCAACCCCTCTTCCCCACGCAAAGCACAGGTCTCGGCGGCTAAGGCAGGCATGCCGGGCAGCTCTGCAGCCCAATGCTCCCCCTCCCCGCCTCCCGCAGCTCTCGCCTCGGAGCCCGAAATCACAACAATAGTAATAGTTATCATCATAATGATGCGGCCAAGCAGCGTCATTAATAATGAATAACCGTGGCCGCCGCCTGACGCACACCGGGTGCATAGACTTGCGCGGGGAAAAAGCATTTGCACAGATCCTGTAAAGTAAAAAGTGTTAGCGTGTGGGAGAATGAATTTCAGGACCGGCTCTTGGCTGTGTGTGTGTGTGTGTGTGTGTGTGTGTGTGTGTGTGTGAGAGAGAGAGAGAGAGAGAGAGAGAGAGAGAGAGAGAGAAAGAGAGAGAGAGAGAGAGATATGAAACCAAGACTGCACCAGGTTAACCAGCCGAATTTTCCAAACCCCACTTCCTTTTCACCAACTGGCGGGCCTAGGGAACCATCACCCCGCGGCCCGGCTGTGGGCGTCAGGCTGCAGCGGAGGCCCCTGCTGCCCGCCGCCGCTGGGCCCTGGGTCCGGGCCCCAAGGCCGCTGCTGCACGTGTTCGCAGCTAGCGCGGCCAGATCCTGTAGCCTGGAGGCTGATCGCTTTGTGCCTCAGAGTCCGGGCGGCCCAACTTCACTTTCTGCACTGCCCACCCCATGCTGGGCCCCCGGCCCGGGGCCTGCAGCCTCTGGCTTCGCTTTTGTTTCTTTGCTTTTCCTCCTTTGCATTTCATCCTCCCCTTTGCTTTACCCTGTTAGGAAAATTCTAGGGGAAGGACTTGGAAAGCAAACTTGAAGACACATTTCCCTTTACCCCTCCCCCCTCCCCGGCAGCCCTCATTTCCCTTGCTTCTTCCCGACATTTCTTCTAAGGATTTTTTTTTTTTAAATTTATTCTTTTGCAACTACAGAAAAGAGGAAAGAGATCTCAGTCAGCCTCCGGGACACTGAGACGTTCCAGTACGTTTTGCTGAACGCAGAAGCATTTTATTTTCTATTTCTTCCTTCCCTTGTAGAGAGAATTCGCGGCTAATTATTATGATTATTTGCCCACTCCCTTCCACTTCAACCGAGGACTCCCCGCTTTGTAGCTAGAGTTAGGCCGGAGCTTAGAAACGATGGTTTTGTGGGGGGAAGGAGGATGGAGTTGAGTTGAGGGAGGGGGTAAAATGACTGAGGTTAGGAATGTTTTTAGGGAAAGAGGAATTTGCATTAAAATACAGAGAAATTATCTGATGCCCAGAAAGGAAATGTTGATTGCCACTGAGAAAAGATGTCAATGTAAATCAGTAGACTGCAACAAGAGAATTGTATTTTCATATTTTCTTTGTCCCCCACTTCGTCTGATTTTTAATAATATAGCAGCAATAATAAAAACACGTTTGAGTCTTTCTCTGAACATTTCTAACCAAATGTTTTTCAAGGAGCCGATGTTAAATGTATTTCATACATTAGGATATAATTCTTGTTAATTAGCAATAATTTACGTTAAGAGCATAGAAAATGTTGAGGTTACAGGTTTTATATCTGTACATTTGATCATCTTGTTATTTTCAAGAACTTTGCCTCCTATAAAATTAATTAGGTGAAATGTGGAGGTGTAATCAGCAACCTGTGAATTACCACTTCATTTCCTGGTTTTGATTGTAAATCAGTTCAGTCACTACATTTAGAAGACTTTAACCAAGTCTGTTTTGTACCGAATTACTTTTAACTATTTGATACCTAGGAGAATATTTCCTTTTGCTTCTAAATAATAATCTCACATTCAGGAACATATCAGGCCTTGGGAATTAAAAAACAAGCAAACCCATTTCTTAATGGTGGCATTTGTAAAAATGTTTTAACTTTAATAAAATATTTTTTTTCCTTGAGTCTTCTTTCAGTCTGCAAACCTCAGCACCTGTAGTTAATGCTAAACAATAACAACAACAGCAAAAAGCCAACATTTGTCAGTGTGTACTTAATTCAAATAGCAGGGATCTTGGAGATGATTTCCCTATTCCATTCTTCACTTGGTCAAAATGAAAGCAAAATGTAGGAGAAAAATGACAGAAAGGCACAAAGCAAAAACACTTCCATTCCTCTCCTTTTATGCATGTGCATTTTGAATTTACCTTTTGGCCAGAATGTTGGGCAAAGAAACATTTAAGTGCTTACTTTGCTGTCTTTATTAGTAGGGAGATAACCTTCATATTCCTGTGGTGACCTTATGTTAAATTAGGAGGTGTACCAGAGGCTAGAAATTATGACATGTCCTACTTGAGCACAGGTGCAGCTAGGCAGGGCTCTCTCAATATTATTTCACCCAGCACATCTGGGAGTTACTCCAGATCTTCCCCCTCAATATTCAGCCTGGGTAGGGTTGAAATAAATTTAACCTGAGTTCACTGGATTTTTGCACTTTATCAAAATCTGTTCCAATATTCTACACTCAAATTAAAATCTATTTTTTGATTCTCTGTGGCTTTAAGTTCATTAAATGTGAAATTGGCAGCTTGCTAAAGAAGGTCAGACTGATTAACTGTTTAAGACTTGTACATTTTCTGCTTCACTTTTTTTTTTAACTGGCAACATCCTGGTGGTGTTTTGTATTTTATGATTTTTGTGGGGGATAGAGCAAGCATAATGTTTAACAAGCAGAGACTTCCCAGATCTCCTTTCCCCTCTGGAAGGTTTAAAAAAAAATGATAGAAGCGGTTCAAATAGATGCTAGAGTATTTTGGTACAAAGTGGGAAAAAAAAAAAAAGAAAGAAAGAAAAACAGGACAGAAAGACATGTCTACCTTGTTATACCATCCGCTGGTGATTATGTGTGCAGAAATAGTCCCATAATGAAGCGTTTTGGAGCTCATTCAGAAAATTAGTCAACTTTGACAACATTAGGCGAAGTATTTCAAGTCTAAAGAAAGGACTTCTCAGCCCTTTTCTGAAATGTGGCGTTTGCTTGACCATTCTGATTTTTATGTCATGGATGCCACCAAGTGCAAACATGTTTAGAATATTTTAGGCTTTCCTTTCTTCAGAATGAAAAAATGACTAATTGGCTTATTTTCTTAAGTACTCAAAGTATCCCATTTAGCTAATGTGTCTGAGAAGAATTGCCAGTGAATTTGGTATTTCTTTGATTTTGTGGCACTGCTGAGAGTAGGATCAGAAAGATTTTTGGCAGAGTGAATTATGCTGCGTTATGATTATTACTTAGATCCGTTTCACAGGTGAATCCAGTAGTTTTTTTTTTGTTACAGCAGTGTAAATGTGGCACATTGTGCTATAGTAGCTTTCTTATTCATGAAACTGTGTCTGTATACTTAAGTGTATATACATTCACACACAAAGAGTATATGTGTTTTTTCACCTCCCTTTTTCTTTGGCATAATAGACAACTTGGTGTACAGGATAAAAAGAAACAAATTTGGTTTCAATCCTTGTTTTTACCAGTTTTTCTTGGTAGTTATTATTTAAGCATTCTTTATGCTCCTTGTGTTAACTATTTGTTTAAGTCACATTCTTCCAAAACTTATAAACCAGACCTATTTGAATCGTGTGTGTGTGTGTGTGTGTGTGTGTGTGTGTGTGTGTTTCCTTTGGAGTTACACAAGTCAGACAGGTTTTTTTGAATACATGATGATTTGCTTCATTGATAAGTGCACTTTCTTGTTGATAACCTCCACATCCTTGTACATTTTGCATGCTCAATTTTTTCTGTTACATAGAGAAAACTAGAAACACTTTACATGATGTGGAAGGGTGGGATGGGGTTGAGAATGTATTTTCCCCCTTTTCTCTCCCCTCTGGCACTTTAATAATTGTGCTTTTGTTTTTCCAACCACAGCCGAACCTCTTGAAGCCATTCTTACAGATGATGAACCAGACCACGGCCCGTTGGGAGCTCCGGAAGGGGACCATGACCTCCTCACCTGTGGGCAGTGCCAGATGAACTTCCCATTGGGGGACATTCTTATTTTTATCGAGCACAAACGGAAACAATGCAATGGCAGCCTCTGCTTAGAAAAAGCTGTGGATAAGCCACCTTCCCCTTCACCAATCGAGATGAAAAAAGCATCCAATCCTGTGGAGGTTGGCATCCAGGTCACGCCAGAGGATGACGATTGTTTATCAACGTCATCTAGAGGAATTTGCCCCAAACAGGAACACATAGCAGGTAAATGAGAAGCAAGGAGAAAAGCTGTTTGCATGTTTTCTTTTCATTTTCAGAGGTGCTGTAGCCAAGCAGTAAGGAGTGGTGAAGTGCTTTCTGTATATCTCCATGTGACTGTCCATGACAGCCCTGTAACGTTAAAATAATCATTCCTATTGCATATGTCCAGAACACAGAAAATAAATATTTTCCACCTCATGGAGTCAGATGTAGGTGGAATAGGTACACACACCTGACACCCTCTCTCTGGATCTGCTGACTCTGAATTTCTTTCCTTCTCTCTGCCTGCCTTCTTCTCATTTTAAAGTGTTGAACCTTAACTACACCCAGCCCAGCTTTCAACATCCATTTCTGGCCTTGGTGACTTGTCAGAGGCAAAGCGGCCACATAGACATTTGTGGTTCAGCCAATGACCTGCCTGACTCAGGATACCTGGTTGGGCCTCCCTAGGAGTGCAGTTAGTTCTCAAGGCTTCCCTGAAGTGGGGTGGGCTGTCAGGGTGGCTTGGAGAGGATGGAAAGAGTTAACTGAGCTCCAGGGCTAGCCTTGGATCCATATTGGCTGTCAGCCCGTATGGGGCTGTAATTAAACACAGCCCCGTGGTGGGATGACACCGTGACCTTGACTTTAAGATGCCATTTTCGACTGGCCAGGCCAGAGTAGAGAGGGCAGTTGCTGAAGCGCACAGACATGCTTACTCGAAAAGTTTAAGGGCATGTTGGAAATTTCAAAAGGTTGGTTTGACAGGAACGGCTGCTCCCTGCAGCCTGCCTCCTCAGCTCAATGATAAATGCTTCTCTGTGCTCTCTCTTGTCTCTGATGTGGTTTTGACAGATGTATCTTGATTTTGTTTGTGGTTTACACAACCACATGTCACCCTTACAAATGTCCAGTCCAGACTCCACTGTTTCTGCTATAACACAATGTAAAATTTTTCTTGGAAAAAATACATATACATATTCAACAGCTCTCCCTCCTTCGGTTAATTTTACCAGGGAGGTAGCTAGATGTGTGGGTTTCTTAGCAGCTCAAGGGGAAAGTAATTAAAGGCTAAGAGAGGGACTTAAATTCCTTACTCTGAGTGATAAACAGCAACACTATATGGTGACCCTTAAGACACTTTTTGATTTAGCACATTAGACAAAGCAAGTGCAGATTCTGTGGTGAGAGAAACACCACGCCTATCAATGAATGGATCACTTTCTTCCACACACCCCCACCCCAAGCAGAAGATTTGTTCGGTTTTAGGAAAGGTAGTGCATATAATCAATGGATTCCCTGAAATTTGTCTCTCTGACATAGTTTGACCACAGAGTTAAACCGTAATAGGTCAGTGGCTAGAGGGGAGTAAATGTCATATAATCCCCCCCCCAATTTGATTATTAAAATCAAACATGGCATCTTCTTTCTTTCTTAAAAAATGTTTTCTGTAATAACACTCAGATACTTTTCCTTTAGTGAAATGAGAAGTCTGCTACCAGAAAAGCTGCATTTGTGAAGTGTTTTTCTTAAATCTACCACATTTAGCTTATGTGACACGTAGGTTAAGGTTTTCATCTCCCCCCACCCCACAGTAGGACATGGCAATGACCATTTCCATGTGCTGTCTTGTGACTGGAAGGAAAATGAACAGAAGTGTAAGGCATGATTAATGAAGCAAGAGCAGGCGGAAGGGGATTTGTCGTCTTTGGAGATCCAAAGCCTTGCTAAATCACCAAATATGGAGTAACGCTTGCGTGATGTAACACCGTATTTACATATCGAGCTGCTCGTTTAAAAGACAAAACACAGTGTCTGTCAGGCAAGAATTAAAACCACACTTCTTACTGAGGTTCCAGATAGTTATCCAGTCTCAGATTAACCAGCTCGAAATTCTGGACCTCTGTATTTAGAGGAGGATTCTGAGGCTGGGGAGGGCCTTATAAATAGTTAAGGCTTTTTACTCTTACAGTTGTGAATCTGTATGGGGAAAGAAATTGGCTTTAATTCTCTGGTTGTCATAATGGTTCAGTTCCTTTTTTTCTTTTTTGGAACTGGTTTAATAGCAGAGTCTAGAGAAGTCCCTTCCGCCAACAACAAATAAGGCAAATTCAAGATATACTTTATGAGGCTAATCCGACATAGTTGCACTGAGATGGAAAGCTATCTAAGATAGTCAATGGGTGCACAAGTGCTTGGACCCAGGTGAGGTAAACCTTGCAAACAGGAATAATTACAAAGTCTTGATTCCTTTCATTGTGTTTAATTACCTGTTCCCACCCTGGAATTGGCTGAACATAAATAGCATGGTCACATCTCAAAGTGAGATGTCAGTAACTAGAATCATGACTTATCATAATTCACCGTAATGAATTAAGAGTTTCCTATGGTGAAGTTAATATTCTACCAATGCATATAAATTATGATGCTCTGGCCCTCAGGTACCCCTGAAGTGAAGTTCTGGAAAGACGGCTGTGTTACTCCCAGCCCATTTCTCTAATGCAAATCTCCACAATTCTAAGTCTGCTTTGCTCCTCCTCCTCCTTCTTATGATGAGCAAGGAAACAATAACAGTAATCATTCAGTAGATATTTGAATTGTGTGTCACAAAAAAAAAAGGAGAAGCAATGTCTGTATTAGGAAAGAGATATATTGATGAATCTCTGGAAGAATATGTTTGGCAACTACATAAAAGGTAGTCATTTAAGCACGCTGTGTAGGAAAGGCTTTATTAAACTGATGTAAGTTGGATTTGAGTTCACAGTGTGCTCTGTGCCATTTTGTAGAAAGGAAGCAGGAATAAAACCGTGACAGATCTTCGTCAGATAAATAAATCTTAGAATTTGGGGCTTTCAAATAGGAGAATAAGGTAGAGTTCATAAGCTCTGTAAAATAGTGTGCATTTTGACTATTCAGGCCTCCCAAAGCTGAGTGGTTTTTGGAAGATGCTTTTTACCTGGTGAATAGATGGTATGTGCTCCCAACTCCATCCATGTGCAGGTGTTACCTGTGCCCAGGTCAGGGTTGCTTTTTCCATTTTATTCAGATATGTGGCATATTGTGTGATTGTGATCTACAGAGACCACTGAAATAGTATTAATTGAACTGGAAATATACCTTATATCGTGTGGGCCCGGTCTGTCAATATGTGTGTGGAAGTACTCACCATCAGATACAAGCAGCTTTAACTGTCAGTCAGAGCTTTCAATATGGATTTTGTTGTTTTTGAGTCTCTTATTTTATGATGGGGGAAATATTCATCGAAGATTAGTGGATGTGAAACTGCTGTTTTCTTACAGAGAAAGCCAAAAATATTAATCCACAGTGTCAGATTTGGAGTTTTGACTTATTGCACATAGGAATCTTTAAATTAGGGTTCGACTGTCATAGAAGTTAGTATTTAAGGGAAATGGGGAAAATATAATAAATCCCATAAAGTGCAGTCAAGTCTGGTGTTATTGATATGTAACATTGTTTTCTCCTTAAAATCTTGAATATAAACATATCAGGATATTGGAAATATTTTCCTAGACAGTATAGCTGATATCTAGATAATGATATGTAAGACAGAAACACTCATGAAGGGGGTTATACTAATTTTAAATGGAAAAACATTAGCATGTTGCTTACAGGTAAATCAAGTATAACATATTTGTGCTTTTCAGAATTTAGAAAATCAACTTGCCTTTTCTTTTTGTACCCATTTTAATTCTTTCCTAACTCGGACTGGAGGATGTATTTGTATACTTTATGGTATAATTGTAAATGAGAGTATAAATTATAGTATCCTATTATAACTACTTATTTTTCATTTCTCTTCATTTGTGTGGTTCTGAATAAAAACTACTGACCTCTGAAGTGAATTTTCAAGCCTGGCAGCTAAAACAAACAAACAAACAAACAAACAAACAACAACAAAAAAAACCATCAGCACTTAAAAAAAAATCAACCAATATACTGACAAACATTTTATTTACCTTCAGAATCCAGAGAGTTGAGAATATTGTTTTCTAATAAATACCTAGGATATTTCCATAGGGAGCTCTGTTTGTGAATCCCCTACCCAAAGACTCATGTTCATGAAACTGGGAGTCCTATATACAAGCTGTATTTGTAAATAAGACAGAGAAAGGTTGTGAACTGGCAGCTTGGATGTTTTGTCAAAGTACAATGTCAGAGAAACTCTTTCTAAGACAAATTGTAAATAGAACTGTCACAGTGATTGCATGATTGAGCCGCAGAAGTGTCCTACAATTGTTGGCATTGTCAGAGGACTTTTGAAAGCTTAATTAAACACGGTGGCCCGCATGGCTGCTAAATTTACTTTGGAAAGCCAAAAAGAAAAAAAATATATATATATCTAAAATGTGTAAGATCCCAAAGATCCCAAAGTTCTTCAGACAGTGTGCCCTTTTGGTGGCACAGAAAAGATGCATTGTGCATTTTCTGAGTTGTCTTTTATAAATAATAGTTTTGAGAATAGGTCCACGTGATATGAAGATCATCCTGTGTGTGATGTGGAGATTGTGTTAGTTTTTCTGTCTCCTGCTGTTACAGACAGTTAATGTAAAAATGGCCTTTTATTGGAAACACAAATATGTATTCACTTCAAGAACAGGAGCAGAGGGGGACAAAGTTTCCCTCCCATTCTCTGTGTTTATTCTATGAAAGCTTAAAAAAAAAAAAAACAGTGCTGTAATTTCTCAAATCACCCCTTCCCTTGTTGTGTTGTAGGTTGTGCCTTTTCCTTTAAAGGATCTGAAATATGGTTTGCCCACCTTTCTCCCAGTGAATGTGGAATTTAATTGTGGAGCTGCCCATGGGCTGAAAAATGTAACTGGGTGTAGAAACATGTAGGCAGGGTCAGGATAGGCACCTTCAGCTCAGGGAAGAGGCGAGTTGGATGCATATTAATGGCACATTTTAGATTCCTGGAAAATCATTAATTTCACACTGCAGTCTCCATGTAGTTTGGTAAATGTGGGAGGGCTAAATGGGGGTACCTAACAAACATGTGAATCCTG